GGGTCCCAAGGTGGATACAGAGAAGTTGCGGCTGTGTTTGGAATGTCCAAATCATGGTGCCAGAATATTGTGCACATTTTTTGCTGAGGTACTTGCTGGAATGGCGTCGTCATGGATACACCTTCCAACATCGGATATGGAGTGGCAACACTTAGGTTCTGTTCAAAACAAAACATGTCGGGTATTCTGGGGGCTATCGACGCAACACTAATTGAAATCCAACGTCGAAAGGACTACGATGGATTCTACAACAGACATGGGGACCCATCACTCAACGTCCAAGCCATGGTGGATCATACTGGCGCATTTACTAGTATTGACATAAGACCTGGGTCATTTTCGGACCGCCGGATCTGGAAAATTTCAACGTTGGGACGTTACATCCCGAACTAAATTTCCAAGTGGCTCATAAATTATTGGGGACTCTGGCTATGTATTGTTCCCATGGCTCATCGTACCGTACCTTCCACACGTAGAGCCAAACAAGACACTGTCGTCTGTGCCAACGCCACTTCAATTTCGAGATCTCGGATCCACGTGAGCGACTGGGGACAATCCAAATGGTAAGGCAGGATTGTAGACGGCAGTCTCGTGAACGAACTCGGAAGCCGGCAGGGCCAGACAAGTCGGCGACGAAGAGTCAAAGCGCGATCTCGTCTGGTCCATTACTAAACTGTTTCGTAGTTTTCGGGAGAAGCTTGTCTCGCCACAGTCAGCTGGACTTCAGCGTTAAACTGGACGGTGCGAGTCGTCACCACATGCGTATATTCCATCAAGACTGGTACACCATAGGCGTGGGTGGACACTTGAGCCAAGTGATGAATTGTTTCGGCCGCCGACTGCACACTAGAGGTCAGTAGCGATAACGTCCCAGGCGTAGGACTTGATAAGGAGTACGAGTCATTCGAGTCCAAGCGCGCAATCGGACTTGTAGAGGTGAGCGGGGCAACAGACTGGGTCAGCGTCTCGTCATCGTTACCCTCGGTCAACATGGACTCGTCTAACTTGTTTTCGTCGGAGCTAGCTTCATCCATATCGTCTGTGTATACAAGCTCTTCAGACTAACTTCGGGGCTCCATGGATAGATCACTCTCGTCGTCGTGGAGAGAGGCCAGTTCACGACGAGCGGTGGTCGAGGTAGTATCGGCGACCTCGTCCGAGTCTTCGACCGCTTTGCTTCGTTTACTCCAAGTCTCATTGCTCGGGCGAGTTGGAATTGTGTTGCATTCGGTAGTTGATGTCTCGCTTTAACTGTTTCTGAACAAGGGTGCCTGGGGCAGGTTCAGGCTGACTTTTACATTCTTTATCAGAGATGCTGCTAAGGAGGACTTCGTCGTCAGCTACGCTCACGAGATCAAGTATCGTATAGGTCGGGGCTGGGACGGCTGAGGCGACATCCTTGTCGTCTGCAATTGCTTGGACGGGAGGTGGATCGAGACGTCTTTGCTCATCCAGGTGTGCTGGATTCCTTGGTTTGGCAGGAGATATACCCTGCTTCTCCACCATTTTTGTGTCTGTCGTAGGGATTAGACCCACAAAACTTACGAAGGTCCGGAGGTTCGGACTTGAGGACCGAATACTATCGACTTGGCCAAGAAGAACACAGCAAGAAAGGAATAGATCCAATGTTAGGCAAATGTAAATGTGAACAATATATAAACTAGCTAAAGCGGACGACTTTTGGGGAAAGGTCGTGGAGAATAGAAGGCAAGACAGTCGAATTCGAAGGTAGTCGGCCAGTCGAATATCCCCGGTTCGATGGGCGAGATTCGATTGATCGGGGTCTGGAAATTCATACCGAATCTCCAATACCTTGACCACATTCGTCGAAATGCTTGCATGCATCCCATGCAAAGTTCTAGCGCATATTGATTTCCATGTTAATCGATCACCATGCTGCCCCCAGTAGAAGTGGATACAGGAGGCAGGGGCGATCCTCGTGGCCTTCTTGGCCACGTGCTGTGACTTTGCGGTCACCACCTGCATCATGCCCATTTACCCGTCGACCAAGTGCTACCAGGTGGCAATGGTGTGCTGGACCGCAATACGGGGATGTGCCCGTCCCCAAGAAGGGGAGTAGATGTAAAATGGATAAAATTAAACACCAGGAGCGTTGCCGCAACCACTGTCGACTAGTATCACTGACTGGAATTTATTCACCATGAGTTGCATCATCCACGACGGTGTTCTTGAGCCATCATTTCGTATGAACGCAATGTCTCGGAGGTTCACCATGCTTTCACTCTGAATGCTATCTAAAGAAATGCCACTACCTTGACGGACTTGGTTTAGCCATAGTATGTACTTACTACTACATACCGGTACTTTGTCGTCAGCTCTTGGTGAACAACGAATATCATGGGAAATACCTAAAGATAGAAATTTGGTTGAAATTGAGATATTACGATGTAGACAACGATGTGTCAAATCACAACTTTACATTACACGACACTATGCAAGTATTTCTTTGGCGCAGACACTGGGAACTGCCTGTCTTGGGGTCCAAATCCCGTTGCTCCCTGCAATGCGCTAGGATGTGGTCGATGGGTAAATCGACATGACGTTGGTCGTGACCTAGAACGTAAACCACGAAACGAAGAGCACAACAAAGACAACGCCGGTCGATGGACTACTGTATTGACCCGCGCGGCTTCAAGTGTTGCATCTGTGCCGTTTGGGGGGACAGCAAAATCAGCCAACTCAACGACGCCAACTTGCACGTGTACACCAAAGCGTACACATACGTTCTTGAGGTCGTTCTGAGACATCTTGAAGAACGAGGCGGCGTACTTGTAGACAATGCCGGCAAACGGTCTCGCGAGGTTGTTGACCGTCGTGATTTGCCCGTACACGGAACCTTCCTTGCCCTTATTATCACTTCCACCGCAACAAGCATAGCAGCGGAGATGTTGCCGGCCAACACCACGCTATTATACGTAGTACCGCTGGTTGCACACGACGTTCCTGCGTCGCGTTCAGGTCGTACTTGGCTTCGAAAGATAACGAGCCCATCGACGAGGATCACGTCGGTGGACCCCGCGGCGATGGTCACCCAGTTCCACTACAGCTCACTACCAGAATTCCAGAGTGGATCAAGTCGCTCAAGATGCTAGACAGCGAGTCGTTGAGGGGTTCGACGCCCGCCCAGTACTTGACCAAGTGATCGCTAGTTTTTCCCTGTAAGCCAAACCTTCGATGATGATATCGCCTCATTTTGGGTGAATATTGGAACTAACATGAGATATGCTATTCTTATTATACTCTACTTCAAAATGCAAGACATCTTTTTTCTACTTGACGGGACACTTACCCGTCTTGGGGTCCAGCACACCGTTGCCCCCTGCGACGCGATAGCACTTAGTCAACGGGAAGATGGACATAATGCTGGTGGTAACAGTGAACGACACGCAGACGACAAACGTGGACACGAGGATCACCCCCGCCACTTTACTCTTGCCACCGCGCGCCTTCAACGCCTGGACTTCCGCCTTTTGGGGAGGCAGCAAAAACAGCCAAAACAACGACGCCACTTTGCATCCGTACGAAATCATGAACACGTACGCGACGTCCCACCGTACCTCGAGCGTGTCGGACTTGATGTCGTTCTGGCGGACTTTGAAGTACGAGTTGATGTACTTGTATAAGATGCTGGCAAACGGCCCCGAGAGGTTGTTGACGGTCGAGATGAGGCCGTACGTGGCGCCTTCGGTACCCTTGTCGGCGATTTCCACGGCCACATACGTGGACACGATGAAGCGGATGCCGAAGGGAATGTTGTCGGCCAACGCCACGCCCGTGTAGAACCACTGGTTGCGCACGACGTCCCAGATGGTCATGTACACGACAAAGCCGTCGACGGCAATGACCCCGAGGGTTCCTCCGGTGATGGTCCAGCGCCAGTTCCAGTTGAGCCCCCATTTGCCCACAACCACCAAAATACCAGCGAAGAGCAAACTGCCAATGATGCTCGAGAGCGAATCGTTGAGAGGTTCGACCCCCGCCCAGTACGTCGAGATGGGTGACCCCGCAGTGGTGTGGACGCCGTTGAAAAAGTTGCTCAGGAATCGGAACAAACAGATTTGCCACATCACGCGGCTCTGGAGAGATTCCCAAAACGTGCCCCACCATTGGGTGAAGGACGAAGGCTTAGTCTTCTTTTCCACAAGGAGGAATACTGTCGAGAGCACCACCAGCACACACGGCACCAAGCAAATGCCATACGGAGCATTTGGCGACAACGCAAACGAAAACGACCCAGCGTAGTTGGGGCCGTTCAGCCCGAACGCAGTCACCAAGTACGCGAGGATGCCAGTGAGCGTGCGCACGACGTAGATGGCGGTCTGGATGCGGCCTCGGATGGCCTCGGGTTCTCGCTGGGCGTACTCGACAACCATCGCGTCGGACGCACACGCAGCCAAGACGTACCCAAACGCAACGAACATTGACAGAAGGATGAACAGCCTGCCGTTGTCGGGGGCGGTCAAGTTGAAGTGCTCGAGCTCGTTTGCAGGTACCTTCTCCAACGGCGTGCTGCAGTACTTGGTCTTTTCGCGGTTGCAAAACGGCTCTCCCAACGACGAAAACGTCATCACAATCAGACAGATCATCGTGATGGTCCACCCGATCAACATCCAGGACTTACGACGGTAGCCATAGATGGGAACGCAATCCGACAACATCCCAAAGATGGCCTTGAACGACCACCCGATCAAAATCAACACCCTGTACGACGATGTTTGGTACCCCTCCAAGTTGAGGTAGATGTTGAAGATGGGGTAGTTGAGCGACGGGATCATGCCGAAGATGATCCCGATGGCGCCGTACTGCATGAACAGGGCAAACGCTTCGCGCGAGAACAAGTTCAGCGCCCCCCCTTCGACCAGCGCCCCCTCTTCCAGGTCCTTGGGAGATTTTGCTTCGGCGTACCCGTCAACGTCTTTGGCCGTGTTCGAGTGGATGTACGACACGCGTTCCTCCAAGTCCGTTGCCTTGTTGTCGTGGCTTGCCATGGCACATGCGAAATTGAAAATGAACTGATTATTGTGACTCCACCAATTCCCCCCTTGCTGTTAATATTGGTAGAGAGTAATGTAGCGAATCAGAAGAAAGTATGGTAGCGAATCACAAGTACTAGTACCTACTACTAGTACTACATAGTATTAATAGTAGGTAGATCGGAATGGCCAAGCATGTCGCGGAAATACTCCCGAAATATGCTGCCTCAAAAGCTTGGAGTTGCAGAAGTGTAACCTGCCCACTGTATATATGTTGCTATTCCAGGCATGTCAAAGGGTACCATAGTGTGCAAGCTTAACTGTAAACTGTGGTTGTCCTAAATTCATTCGCATGCGATCAACCTGATATCTCATGCACATCGCAGTACTTCCATACATGCGGACCATTATGAGAATAATCCCTGAGAGCAACAATTCCAATGTTGCTTACGTAATCTATTCCTTTCAATATACCAGTAACTAGTAGCCCTGTAACCTCCGAACCCCCGGATCCCTTATGTTCATATTACCGGGGTTACTAGTAAGTGCTTCACCAGTGGTGACCTATCGCTACTACTATAATGTACTTGACCCCTCGCTGGATTTTGGAGTACACTGCATTTGACTGTAATACGAACAAGTGAATTGATTACGTAAGCACAAGTGGAACTTGCCCTGAGGGCATTGCTACCTTATGACATTGTGAGACAGATCACCTCCAGAGTATAGTTCTACAGTATTTGACAAGGTGAAATGGACGGTTCCCGTTGGCTGCTTTCATGAGTATAATCGCCAACATGTGAGTAAGTATTATACTTACCGTTAGCTACTTTAGTTGTGTCAATAAGGGGCACTTTGTCCGTTCTTGCTTTGGCCTTTTTCGCCGAGGTTCGGTCATTTACCGATAATATCCGGTCATCCGGAATCATCCGGAATTATCCGGTGTTCTTTCTCTGTAGAAGCCGGACTGTTTATACCCAATCATAGGTTAGCTAAACAGTCCATTAATGATCATCTTTGGTTAATTGAGTTTGGATTATCATTTTTAAGACATTCCTCCGCGAGGGCCGACACTAGAACCACATGTTATGGAACCGCTTCGCCAATTGTAACGCGCCTGCTCGACCAGGGGCGGTGTGTAATCTTCGGTTTTTACTTCGCGCAACGCTTCATACCTCGTGCTTCGACCGATCTTCTTCGAAGTTCGGTCCTCGTCTTCGTACGCAGCCCTTGTTATCCGGATTCCCCAGGGGAGGGACGGATAAATCCTTGCGGAAATAATCCGGGGAATCCGGGATGATCATCTTTGGTTTTGCCCTCGACCACATAAGTGTTCTTCGTCGTCGTTCCTCCCCAGTGCTACCCCTTTATCGTCCCTCTTGACAGGTTATGAGCTTCCTCTGCGCAGCCCTTCGTGGGCACCCCACTCGACGACCTCCGACCTCTGACCTACACGCTCTAGAAAACGGACCTCTTATCCCAAACCACGTCCCGCGACCTTGCTGAGTTCTACTCTACAAAGGACTATGTCCCTCAAGGCAATCGCATCGATGCGCTCAACGTCAGCAAGATATACCTCGAGCTCGATCAAGTTGAGCACTCTGAGCTCTACGTCGTC